TTTTTCGAGATCAAGAGTTTAAAATTATGCCCGCATGCTACGTATGTGTATCAGACCTAAAGGTGCTTTACTTATAAAGATGCTATCATTATTGTTATACTATTTAGAATGCAATAAATTCACATGATATTATATACGAGAATTATAATTAGCTCATGTGAAATCCTTCTTTCAAATAATGATGCAACAAGCAAACAAGTATACGTACGTACGTACGTACGCACGCACATTGCTTCAAGCTTTCTTTCAGCTGATTAACACGCGGTTGAATACAGTAAATAATAAAGTTGTATTATTAAACCTGTGAAACGAAACTTCACCAGTCAAATTTGTTATATTTTAAATCTTTGTAAACATTATTTAATTTTTCTAGTGTAAGTAGTTATCGTCGATAAGAAGTTTGTGTTATAACATTATTATGTTTTACTTTTTATTGACATCTTTCTCACCTCTGGACTTTTTCCTGTGGGAATTACACAACTTGACACAGAAGTTGCTTCTATACAAGCACAGAATTTATTATATTTTATTTGGGCGAACTTATTATAGGCTCAGTGGTTAATAAATTTCAGTTCATTTATTTCTTGCAAGTTGGTCAGTGTTGACATTCTGGGTTTTCTTAAAAGAGATTGCAGATACGATTTTTGGTATATAAATGTTGTGCGTCAAACTAAAATTTGCGTCAGATCAAAATTTAAATATTGAGTTAGGGTGAAATTCTATGTTAGGGTAGGAGTAGGTATCAGCGGTATTATAGTTATTTGATCTGACACATTTTTTAATTTGACGTACAGCATAAATAAATGATATTCATACGCAAGTTACCAAATACGTGCTACCTACCTGAACAACCAAGGTGCAATTGTACTATCACATCCTATTGAAGAAAATATGTTGAGTGCGCCATTTTTTTTTATGAACAGTTATTTTGTTAGTATTTGACTTACCTATACTAGATATTCAAACATTCAAAAACGAAAAGCGATTTCTTATCAGCTGATACGTATGCATTTTCTTAAATTACATTTCGAAAGATCTAGCCATAAAAGGTATACTTATTATATTATTATGAATATTCATTATAAGTATTCATAATAATTATAAGAGTTGAGAATTTTAGAACTCGAATTTTTAAGACAAAGTCAACGAATTAGATTTTTTTTGGCTGGCTTATGCGTATGTATCCTTCGTATCTCTATGACCCCGAATTTTTCAAGATAATACTAAGTGCATTACAACTACGGCAACTGACTAAATAAATTCTCTATTACTATACCAAAATTAACCATGAACATTCTTACAGATGATTCTAATATACAACTCGTAATACAGTATAAAATTTCAAACCACCCCGTTACTTTATGAATTCATTTACGGGTTTGCCTTATATCACAGTCATAACAGTTATTACAGTTACGTACCACAGTTATTAAAAGCTTTTTCATTCGTGAATTGGAGAACAATATTATAAATACAGAAATATAACGTCCACAACGTTGATCATGTGACTACAGAATTTATTTTTTCTCATGAAAATTTCCTTGTTTATAATATTTATTATATTTACAGATTTAATACTGTACAAATAAATGTATGTAACCCTTTATTTTTTTTTAGTTCCCCAACCCCCTTATTTTCGATCAACCGCTTTATTTATATGGTGTTATTGCATATGCCGCAAAAAGTTAAGTTGATCGTCAAACATTTCTCGATTCGTGGAATGCTCGTCGTCACTTTTTCTTCCCCTTACCCCTCATATTTAATTAAAATGATCTTTCAAATAAGAAATTATTAAACTAGACCGATTCGAAAATTCAGAATTCGGATAATTTTAACCAGAAAATAATTTTTAGAACCTTTTTTTTTTATCTTTTTTTTTAACGTAAACCTTATTTCAAGGTTTGTACGCAGTCTAAATAAACTAACTTTTTTTTTATTTTTGCATATTTAAATTCGAATTATTTTTCATCAATTTAACATTGATTCATACTTACTTCCCGTTTATTGATATCCAAATTATCATCCTTTCCTTCGTGTCTTAGAGTTCTTGATTTCTTATATAACAATTTTTAATATTTTCTTTTGACTTATAGCGCCCTCTTATTAATATTCAAATCCTTTTTTTTTGACTTTCCAGTACAAAATTCTTACTTGTAAATGATAGTGAATTAATTTACACTAGAAAGAAGATGGGGTCAATTAAAAATTATGTAAGCGTTTCCCAATCCATTCACAGTTAATTCATTTCTAAAAGACTGAGTTGATGATCTAATTATTGTTATTATGGTTATTATTATGTATATATATATTTTTTTAAAAAAAAATAATAATAAATGACAGCAATTAAGCAAAGAATGCCTTGGAAAAGGCTCTTTCGGTTCTGTCTACAAAGCTTTGAATATGGAAACTGGTGAAGCAGTGGCAATTAAACAAGTGAAGATCAGCGATTTACAAAAATCGGAACTAACTTTTATAATGGTAAGCTTTCAATTATGGTTCTTTTATTATTTTTTTTTCGATCTAAAAAAATAGTTATCCAATGATCGCGCTTTTTATATTATAGTCTGAAATTGAATCATTAAAAAATTTAAACGTAAGTAATGTGTCATATTATACCTTAAAAAATTATTTATTAACCAAACCGTATACTACAACCATATATTTACATGACTTTATTTCCCTTGTTTTAAATTTATAGCATCCAAACATTGTAAAATATAAAGGATATGTTAAGGCGGACGATTTTTTGAATATAATATTAGAGTAAGTGCAAAAAATCTGTGGTATATCGATTATTTAAAAATATAATATATTAAATTTACTTAATTCTCAGATTTTGTGAAAATGGCTCTTTACTTAATGTTTGTAAAAAGTTTGGAAAATTTCCAGAAAACCTCGTTGCAATCTATATTAGTCAAGTTTTGGAAGGTTTATTATACCTTCACGACCAAGGCGTTATACATCGTGATATAAAAGGTGCAAATATATTAACTACAAAAGAAGGTTTAGTGAAACTAGCAGATTTTGGTGTTGCTACGAAAACTGCAAATCTTAGTGATTTTTCAGTGGTTGGTTCTCCATATTGGATGGCCCCAGAAATAATTGAATTATCTGGTGCTACCACTTCTTCTGATATTTGGAGTGTTGGTTGTGTTGTTATTGAACTTTTAGAAGGAAAACCTCCTTATCATAATTTAGAGCCTATGCCTGCTCTTTTTCGAATTGTTGAAGATGAACATCCTCCTTTACCGGAAAGTGCTTCACCTGCTGTTAAAGACTTTCTTATGCAATGCTTTCAAAAGGATAGTAACCTTCGTGTGTCTGCAAGAAAATTACTAAAACATCCTTGGATCTCTAATGTTCGTAAACCAAATGTAGCTACTGAATTTGAAGACGCTATAAGAAGTGTAAAAGAATGGAATGAGGCTTTAAAGGTCGCAAAATTTGAAAATCATAAAAAACGAAGAAGTGGTTCCATAAAACTATCTGCTACTATGCCTTCAAAATCAAAATCTCCTCTTAGTTCGAGTTCTTTATCACCAAAAATACCTGATTTTACGCCGCCTGTTAATAGTTGGGAAAACTTAATGTCTTTGGGTTCTTCAACTTTAATGTCAAATTCATTAAATCAACAAAATAATCGGTTATCTGCGTTTCTTGAACAGGCTGAAGTTGAAGGAAATAATTGGGATAAAGATTTTGTGGATTCGATATCTCTTTCTCATATTACTGATATTAAAACTAGGCAGTTAAGTACTAAATCTTCTAATGCTGACATTCAAGACCAACAACCGGATTACGAATCTTCCGATGATGATTCTCAAACTGTTCGACCAAGTCAATTCAATAATGGTCGGATAAAAAATAATCATTCTGTTCCAAAAGTTCCTGGAAAACAAATAATAACAGAAGATAATATAGTAAATGCTGAAACTAATGGGTTCAAAGATAAACCTAATGGTTGGGAATATGCACAGGGCACTGTAATTCATCTACCTTCAAAATCCGCGAATAACTCTAGTTCAATTCTAGAATCATCGACTACGGCAACTAATGGTACTCTTGATGAAAAACAAATCACGGATGAATTTAAGCGACATACTCGTGCGTATACCACCAATGATATACTAGTCCCAACTAATGGAGTAACAAAGAGACCAAATAGACCACTTCCACCTTTACCAACACAAAAATCAATATCTTTAACAATGTCTACACCATCTTCACCATCAAGAAAACCTCAAATTGATATACCTGATTATCAGGTATCCAATAAGATTGTTATTAGTTCGTCTCGAGTGTCAACTCCTGTACAACAGGAATTACAGGAGTTAAACGAATTCCAACAATATCAAGAATTAGAAGATGAACAAGATTATAATAAAGCATTTCGAGATTCTGATGAAGAAGATGATAGTGTTATTCATACATTAAAGTTTAATTCACATCTTTATAATGAAAGTTGGAAGGGTGATGATAGCAGTGATGAAGATGATCCATTTGCTGAACTAGAGGAAAAATTTGATGAGATGGACATGGACGCACACATTGCTAGAGATAAATATGCAAACGCATGTTCACGATTGGCAGAGCTTCTAAACCTTTTACAACCAACCGAAAGCGAAGATCGATTGATAAGTTCATGCGTTCAAATCATTGATCTCTTAACAGAACATCAAGAGCTTAAGAATCACTTTATAATCTTTCATGGTGTAATTCCTATCACGGAAGTATTAGAAATATGTGTTAATACAGACTTACTTTCAAAATTGCTAAAAATAGTTAATATAATTATTGCAGATAATATTGATCTTCAAGAAAATCTTTGTCTAGTAGGGGGTATTCCAATAATAATGAGCTTCACTTCAAAAAGATATCCATATGAAATTAGAGTCGAAGCTGCAATATTTATAAGACAGATTTGTCATACATCACCCATTATCCTACAAATGTTTATATCGTGTCAAGGATTAAGGATTTTTGTTGATTTTTTTACAAGAAGAGTACACTAAACATAAGGAACTGATTTGGATCGCCGTTAATGGAATCTATGGTGTTTTTGAACTCCAAAGTCCGACTCCTAAGAATGACTTTTGTCGATTGCTTGCAAAAATTGGAGTATTGGATCCGTTAGCCATTACCCTACATAATGTTATAATGGATGACGATCCCTCTGCTAAAATATTTGTGGATAGAATTGTTAATATCTTTTTAATGTTTTCTCGAGGTGACGCTTATGTAAAAGAATTTATGGCTACGCGTACACGGGTTGTTACTCGGATTTTTGAAGACTTGTATAAATTACCATCGTATTTAATTGTAATCGTGCTCAAATGTATCAAGAATATCTCCATGAATTCAATTACATTGGATTCTTTACAAAAAGCAAAGGCGATTCAAATTCTCACGGATTTGTTGGATAATCAAGTTCCATCGTACGTCAATGAAATTTCCAATCAAGTACTCAACACAATGTTCAATCTTTGTCGAATCGATAAATCACGACAAGAAGAGGCAGCAAGGGCTGGGCTTATTCCTCATTTGGTTCATTTTGCATCAAATAATACACCACTCAGACATTTCGCGATTCCAATTCTTTGTGAAATGGCTCACACGGGACAAGGTTGTCGTGATTTATTGTGGCAGAATAATGTTTTGCAACTTTATTTTAATTTATTGGTTGATAGATCTTGGCAAGTTAGTGCTTTTGAAGCTATTCTTTCATGGTTCCAGGAAGAGACCTCCCGTGTAGAACCAATTCTTTTACAACAAAACAATATAGAATTAATCCTAGAATCATTTGTTGTTGCCAAAGCAAACTCTTTCGAAAATATTCTTGAACCATTATACATAATAACACAACTATCTGCTCATGTGACTTGTGTTCTAGCACAACCATCATTTTTCGATCGTTTATTACATAGATTTGAACATCCGAAACCTGTTGTGAGGTTGAATCTACTACGTATTCTAAAATCTATCTGCGATGTACATCCACAACGTGAAGATGTTATTAAAAGTTATGGGTTATTTGAAATCATTATTAAAATTAGTGCAGAAGATCCAGCTGTATTAATAAGAGAGCTTGCAAAAGAAATTTTGCAACAAGGTTATTTCACTCTCCAAAAGAAGGTTAATTAAAACCCTGATTATTTTGTAATATCATTAATGGTGGTATGGATATTAATACGCTGAAGCGAATTTTGAATTTAAAAGTACTAGCAGTTAAATTTCATTTTTAATTTTTATTAATTTGCTTTATTTAAAAGAAAATTGTTAATTTTAGCATTTAAAAAAATTAAAAATTATAATTATTATATTTTTAAAATTTGACCAAGCTACTATGTAAATAACTTAGTGTAACTATCAGATAAAAAAAGTTGTATAATAAAAAACATTATTTTGAATAATTCATAAATATTATTTGGTATTATTATTTAATATAAAAATGATTTACTAATACAGTCGACCCTCCATATAGTCACCTCCCATATAATCACACCATATGTAATCACATTTTTATTTATAAAAAAAACCTCCATATATGCACAACCCCTTTACAAGCACATTTTTTAAAAAAGTTACTATGTGCCCAACTGTGTGATTGTATGGGAGGACGACTGTATTTTAATTTTTTTAACAAAATTTTATGGCAATTTCTATTTGTACTAGTGTATAAAGCACGGATACATATTGTAACTCAAATTTTTGCTTATAAACCACTCTTTGGTTCTAACAAAAAATAATCTACCCAAAATTTTAGTATAAACTTTTTTTTTTAATTCCAAACCTCTAACTGCTTTAACCTAGTGTTCCTAGATTCGATTCGGGGTTAGTCTGGTTCGACATTCAAACCAGACTCAAACTTCAAATTTTATTAATTTTCAAATCCAAACCAAACTCAAACTTTATTGTAAGTTTGATCCAGGTTTGGTCCGAATTTTACAAACTGGTTTGGTTCAAATATATATATGTAAGTATATTTTTTGATGCTGAACAAGTTTTAGTTAGAATCAATTAGTAAACTTTTGAGTAATATAAGATTTTTTATATTTTTATTAAAAAATTTTGCATTGCTCTATTTTACTAGTACAATATAATTTTATGTTTTAAGTAAACTTGTTTAGCACTAAAAAATACATTAGTTTTACTATACCTAATATAAAAATTAAAGAGAAGATGATAATTTTGAATTTTTAATAAAAGATTATATCAAACATTTAAAATTAAGTGTGTTTTTTTAAATTTTAAGGTAAATACAATAAACTATATCAGTATAATGTATTTTTAATGCTGAACAAGTTTGCTTAGAATATAGCATAGCAGAAGTTTATTTTGATTAGTTGTTAAGATACTCTGAAAATAATGTTGATTATACTCTAAATAGAATATTGGCTAATTTCAGACAAAAATTTTATAATTTGTAAACTTTTAAAAAATTAGTTAATATACTCTAAAGATATATTATAAATTTACAAGATACTAATTTAGTTTTATTTTAACAAATTTAATTTAGATTTGTTATTTTTTTTGCAATAAATACATATAAATATTTATTAAATAATATATATACAACTATTTCTAATACTATTATTACTATTACTTATTATATTATAAATATTATATTTACAAACTATATCTAAATAAATTATAATCAAAAATATTAAAATATGGTTTAGAATAATAGTTTAAAATATAGTCAGACTTTCTAAATATATTCTCTTTAAATCCAGCATTCTTTTAAATATATAATATAAGCTCAGACTTATAGTAAGACTTATATACTGTTGGACCTTCCCAAACTGGTATGCATAGTGGATAAGTTCTGTATTGGTTTTGAGAGGTTATCAGATTTGAAAAATCATGTGACTGACAGGTATCTAATCTACCAATCATATTGCCAAATTTGAAAATATATTCAGACAAAAAAAATTTTTAAAATCTTAAGAACTATGGTAAGTGCTATAATAAATAGAAATGTAGTACATATAAATGCATAATCTAACTACATAAGTTAAACAGATCACTATACTTAAAAAATTTCTTGCATTTGCTATTACATGCATACATCTTTTTACTGTAATTAAAAACTGGGCTATTGCCAACAATTTATTTATTATTTTTAAAAGACATTTATGCCAATCCACCAATCTGGTTTGGTAGCCCAACCGGAAAAAGAAAATTAAAATAAAAGTTAGAGAAGCAATAAAACCAAATTAGATGGGTTTCTGAATGCGAACATGTCTACATTCTTAAAAATTTATTAGAATTTCAAATTAGGTTTGAATTCATGAAAAAGAATGATATGGCCAAATTCTTTTTTTGATAAAATATTTAAAGATAATATACAGTGTCACAGGCTAAAAGTGGATTTACAAAATTGGATATAGCAAACACATAACTATGATTTGAAACAAGGCTGAATAATTGGTTTTGTGGTTGAAGCTTATTGGCCAAATGGAACATCTAAATAGTTAATTAATTTAATTTAAGGCTGATATAAAGGATGAACCCTCGACTGAACCAGCCTCATAACTAACGTGAAATCTAAAAAGCCTAAATGTGTAAGAAGAGAAAAGTGAAGAACAAGAAATTATAAATAAAATCGAGTCATTGCAATATTTCATATTGCAAGAGCAAAGCAAAGCCTTTACATTTTCTTGAATTATGTTGTAATTCTTATTATAAGCCCCTATATTAGTATAAGTTGTTCTTAGATTCATTAAATATATAATTAATTAGTTTCCCCTAAGCTCCTTTGAATTATAAGAGAAGAAAAGCTATAAAAGAGATGGAAATTAATATTAGTTAAAAAATATCCTTCGGGATTCTAATATTTAATATATCTTATATTATATTAAATAACTTCTCTTAAATAAACTTATTATAAATTCTAATAAAAATTATCAAATCACCAAAGTCATACTTTTGGCGAGTTGCCTTATCACCTAAATCATATATAATTTTGTGTTTAAGTCATTAAATCTACAATTCACCCCATAACAACAGTATCAAAAAAGTAAAGAATATTATTAGATTAATAGTAGTGATCCTGGCCGAAATTAAAAAAATCGTCTTAGCTGATTTTTTGACCTGGTTGGTCAATTTTTTCTAAAATCAGCTAGCCAATTTTATAAGTAAAAATTTTTTTTTCTCAAAACAAATGACTTATTCGCAAATAATAAAGGTCAGTAATCACATTTAATTTTACTTACAATACACTTGACTTTATTGCATACAATTGTTTGGTAACCATATTTAATTTTGCTTACAATACTTTTTAACAGACTTTTCTACTAGCAGTAAAATATATACTGTTCGGTTTGATAATAGATAAGAATTTATTTATTTAAAAATTTTGAAATTTCATTCTAAATCAGGGTAAGAGTTAAAACAGTGTTGATTTTTTTTTAAGAAAAGCAGATCATGAACCGTGTTGGGATAAAGACGACTTTGTTTATCAGTAATTGTGTTTCCAGCGTCAGAAAACAAACGCTCAGATGGAACAGAAGTTTCAGGAATACATAATAACTGTTGTGCTTGGCATGCTATTAAAGGAAGACTTGATTTGTTATCATGCCAAAAAGTTAGTAGGTTATTTTTTTTATATAGAGGATCAGAAAGATCATACTTAGCCATTTTAGGCATATCAAAATAAATTTCTAGTTCAGTTTCAACAGGGCATGACTGGTGTGTAGTTTCTTCGAATAGTGAGCTTAATAGGGAAGTAGGTAAATTATTGTTGGGTAAAAAATAATTATTATTTTCTGTATATTTCATCATCCTGCATTTTAATTCATCTTTTGTTGATTCAAATTTTGCTAGCTCAAAACCTAAGTCTTTAAATCTTGGATCCAACATAGCTGCAACATATCCTTCTGGCCTGGGTTCTTCCCAACATTCACCAAATGATAGCTCAATTTTGTTATATACATCACGAATAATTGGGTGTGTAGGAGTTTCTTCTTTTTGATATAAGTGTTTTTGCAAAATTCTAACTAATGGTAATATCATTAAAAAAGTAGAGCAATGGTCTCCACCTACTATAGTTGTAACATATGCAAATGAACCTAACAATTCAACCAACTCCTGGATTTCTAGCAAATCATCATCATCTAGAAGTAGCTTTTCAAGTGCTTTAGCATTATTTTTAACATTTCTTTCTTTATCTTTTGCAAGATCTTTTTGGAGCTTTTTTATTGCTTCATAAAGTACAAGTAGCCGACTTAGTAAGAGATATGTGGAATTCCACCTGGTTGCAATGTCATTTGAAATAGAATCCAAAACTGAAGTATCTTTATTATTGATTAATGGGTTTTTTGCTTGATATTTCAAGTTGTATAGACGTAATTTTTCTCTATATTTGTCTTTTCCAGCAACAAATATGTTTAGATCTTTGGCATGATTTATTAGATCAGCTGCATACTTTAAACCATCTCTAACTCCAAGCTGAATAGTATGAGTGGAACATCGAATATGTAAGATTCCAATATCTTTTAAAGCTTTTACCATTGAGCTAGCATTGTCAGTTACACCTGCTACACATTTGTCACTTAAATTCCATTTAACAAATTCTCTTCTTAAACAATCTTCAATATGATTAGATATATGTGGGTATGAAAAACTTTTAATTGTAAGTAAGGCCTTATGCATTTTAAATTCTGAAGAAAGCCAGTATGCTGTAATTCTAATGTTGGGTATATGAAATTTAGTCTACAAGTCAGTAGTAAACGTGAAATATTCTAATGTGTTATTAATTAAATTTTTTAGGCCATTTTCAGAATAATTTACTGATTTGAATAACTTTCTTAACTATGTCTTTACCCAGAAATTGGAATTGTGGTTCTGCTTCATGTAAGATATCCTGAAATTATTTATTTACTAAAATATTAAAAGGTTGCATATCATCAACTATCTATGCTAATATTCTAGAGATAATTTTATTTTGTTTTTTATTTGGAAGTAGTATCTGATGATTAACTAATTCTAATAAAGTAGACTATAACGGGTCTAATCTAACAGACCGTAACTGTGCTATTTCTTTTTTGCCACTTAAAGGTAATAAAGGACCAGTTTTACTTAATCTATATACAGTTCAAAGATGGCTAGCTAAATTTGTTGTACTTGTTGCAATTTCAAAAGTACTTGTGCATTGTTTAAGATTATCATCACCAACCCATGCTTGACAATAGATTATTTAGGCAGGTTTGTCTTTTTTCATGTAATGCCATACCCAAGTTTTCTCTAGTTTAGATTTTTTATTAGCATTGTTATTTCATAAGTTACTATTACTTTTCCTTTTAACTATAATATTTTGTTGTGATGATTTTGACACCTTCTGATTGTATTTTGAGTGGAATTAGATAAACCTTCTAGTAATAAAAGAGATTTTTCATCTAAAACAGGTTTACTATCTATAGAGGGCTCATTCAAAGAAAGTTCATTATCTAATAATAATGGATCTTTATCTAATGATAAAGGCTGTTGTTTGTCAGATAATAAGGGTGATTTTTTAGATAATAATTCATTCATTTGGTAATAACTGTGATTCTTCTAAATATGTGTATTCATCGTTAGAGAAATTTTGCAGGGACATTTTTGTATACTATATTAAGTGTGGTATGATTCTCTTTTTATATGTGTTTAATTTTGAAGTTTATTATAACAATTCTAATAAATATTTTAAATTTGTTAATTAACACATTTTACAATTAATACTTTTAAATTCGGCTTTGCTAAAAGCCTATATCATAACGAGGATCCGGGTATATACATGAATACAATACTTTCTTGTTATCTGGCAGGTATGACGTATACACTAATGGAACTATATTATTGCCCAAATAAACCTTTTTTAATTAATAAATAATAAGAACTGATAAATCAATGATGAATATATATATAAATGATAAAATGAATAAGTTTGTTTTGATTTTTTTAATAATAAATAATAAGAACTGATAATCCGAATGATGAATATATATAAATGATAAAATGAGTGATTGTGTTTTGATTTAACTATCTCTTTAATATTTCAATGTCACATAATATGTTACCAACAGATGAAGATATTTCAAAACTTTTTAAACTCTCGCGAGTATATAATACAGATAAATGTATGGCAAAGTGGTTACGAGCAGTTGACAGATATAGAGAAGTATCCAATTACGAAAAA